ACTCGGTTATTGCTTGCCCTGTTTCCACTAAGTCTAAGTCTGTACCTGGGATTGAACTCACAATTACTATACCACCAAATACCTGAACCAACACCTCTCGAACATGGAGCCTTAAATATAATGTTCTTTTTGCCTTCTTTGCTATGGTTGTTACTGCTGCAGCCATGTTGTCAAGCTTGACTCCCTCTGCCATCACATTTCTTTCTGACTGCTGCTGAAAGTGCAATGACCCAAAAAATTAGGATGATAACAAAGATGAGGACATTAGTCACTGGTCCTGGAAGGTGAAGTTGTTTTTTTTTTAAATGTAGGAGTGCCAACAGGATACAACATATATGTTGATAGGCGGCAATGTAAATTTCACAGACATATAAATACATCCACAGCAGCAGGTAACAATGTGATAGGTAACCTTTAGAAAAGTTTTGTTTTCCTCAATTCTCAACAGATAATACATTTTTACACTGTTTATATAAAAAAAGATAATACATTTGTTATGTCTGCTCCTGAATCTGTCTGTTAATGTTTCAATTTCTGTCTGTTCAATCAAACTTCCAGTTTTATTAGAATTGCATTTTAAGCCTTAATGTACAACTGGGTGTCATTCGATTTTGTGTTCATGGCATATTTAAATCATTGCCTGTAAATGATTGAAAGCCTAATGAGAAATCTTTCTCTATTTCTCGGTCCTGAACTTTCTAATCCTTCTTGGTCACTAACTGATCTAATCACTGAGGATTTACAGATTTGCACTCTTAATCCCTTAGCCTTCCTAATTTAAGCTAGCATCATTCAATCTCAGCTCTAATCCCTTAATTTACAACTCATATAAGCAGTTTTGTTTTCATCTCTTGTTTCTCTGTTGTGATAACCTTGCTTCACTCCACTGGAAAAAAAAAAGTATAAAAAGTAAAAATCATTAATATTGTATCTGGAATTGATCAAAGGTATTTTATCTGAAAATAGAAATTATTTAAAAAAGAAAAAGAAAAGTTTGATGCAGTTACTACTGAATCATGGATACAAAAACTCAAAATGTTTTTTATTTTTTTAACTAATTTGTGTCTATATTTCTGACTTGAGGTATTGTAATTATTTACATTATTTACTCTGTTGTCCTTAGCTTTATTGTCATATTCACGTTTTGGCTGTTGTACATTATGGCCTTCCTCAGATGATTGGAATTTTGAACTGAACCCTTTATTTTGTCCATCAGAGTAGATTGTTCTAGTTCCACAAGGACACATGGCCCAGTGCCTAAAATTGTTGGTTGGATCCAGTGACTTGACCCAAAGAATTGTGAGTTCATTACCTGGCTACTCAGTGATGAACAAAGACTTGGAGAGTTGAGTTAGACATAACTAAGACATCCGGAAGAGGCATGGCACGTGGAACTAGAACAATCTACCTCAGTTGATGAAATAAAGGGTTCAGTTCAAAATTCCAATCAGCTGAAGAAGGCCAGAGCATACAATGGCCAGAATATTGTCAATATGGCACTAAAGATGAGGATAACAGTCCAAATAATGTAAATAATTCATTTTGTTTATCTTAAATTTTTTCCTTTCCCTTGATTTTCTTTCTTTTATGTCCTGTGTCCCTTCATGATGAAGGCAATCATGGCCCTACATGTCTTCTTGTCCCTTGTAGCTCTTAATAAGCTTTGTCTTTTTGTTATTTCTCCCAAACCTTGTTCTACCATCCATTTTCTCAAGCTCATCAAGTATGTTATGTGCGGATTTCCTATGTCCCTCTTTCCCTCAATCTGAGAATCAGGTTTTTAAGAAATTTCAACTGCTGCTTTTTGATGTTAAGTATAAATTTCATTTTTGTTTCCACTTTTCCCAAAATCTTGTTGCTCACATGTTCAGTCCATAGTAACCTCAGCATCTTTCCCTTGATCTACAGAACAATAAAACAATTTAATCTCTTGTGCATTTACTTGTAACAGTGGATATTCAAGTCCTGTTGTGGCCATTAAAACAGATATTTTAAAACAAGGAGGAAAAAAATTAAAAATGCTTGTTGTTCCCATAAACAGTAAATAAAAAAAGGGTTTTTATTTTGTTTGTTTGTTTTTTTTTTTTTTTGTATTTTACAATTATCTACAGTAACAATAAAAAAAATTACTTATTTCTTTTTTTTTCTTTGTACTTTGTTTAAAATGTCTGCTTTAATGGCTATAATAGAATTTTATACACCCAAGAAAACATTTAATTCCAGTCTTGAGAATTTAAATTGTTACTTTTCAATTAACATAAATTTAGTAGACACTCCCACTGCTTTCACAAAGCAAATATCTTTTATGAAAGGAGGAGAAACTTAATGAAAATGAGTAATCTAAATTAGATTACTTAATAATCCTGCCTCCACATACACACATGTATGCACTCTTCCCACAATCCTCCTGCATGACAGATAAAAGTATTTATCCAATTTTAGGGGTAAAAAAAATGATTTACTACTATGTGATAATGCTGTACTATAGTGTAATTGGCCATGGTTAAATGTAATTGGCAGAAATACTCAACAAACAGAAGTGACAACCTTTCCAATAAAAGAGAGCAAAAAGAAAAAAACATGGCAAAAATAATATGAAGCAAACTATATATGCAAAACAAAAGTAGGCAAAACAATGAGGCAAAAAATTTTACAAACTAAGAATGCTGTTAACACACAAAAGTGATACGGAAAAGTGATTGCAACATTCTGATTTCAAGACAATAAGTAACATAAATATGGCAGATAAAACTGAGAAGTTGCCTATCTTATTGGCTAGGAAGTAATCCTAACATGCATTTGTACAATTTTTAAATTTTACTGCTGAAATAGCTAGATGTAACTATAAATTCTATTCTAATAGTTTCTTTTCTGGCACTTTTCGTCTATGGAACTCTCTTCCGATTTCTTGCTTCCTTGCCACCTATGATCTTCAAAAGTTTAAATGTAGCATCAATCGCCATCTTCTGTCTTCCTGAAACTTGATTTTTTATCCTTTCTCCTTACTGAATCTCAGTGATAATATTGCCTCTCAAAAAGATTCCAAACAAAATTAAAAACAAAGACCAATAAGCAAGCTTGTGTAGCAAATTTAAGCAGAATATTAAGAACATTGGTTGCTTTCATGTCTTTAGCCAAACTACCACTTTTTAAACAAACACCCCAAAAAGAAATATAAGTTGGATAAAGTAGTACATGAAAACTGATTTCTGAACAGTAATTTGTAATGAAGAATGTAAAGCTGCTTTGGATAGACCTAATAGTGGAGCTAGAGTTTGGGCCCTTCAACCAACACAACATGAAAGACAAAATGAAATGGAGTAATGTTTTGGGGTAAAATTGTAACCAGAAAAATTCTGGATCCCTTCAAAGTCGGTGTCAATATAAATGCAGAAAATCATGGCAAGTTCTTGAATTAAACATTTTCTTTTTTGAGTGATACAGGTTATAATCAATAAACTTTAAGCTAAAGAGTATCTTCATGTGTGACAGTATTCCTTCATTCTGCAGCAAGCCCAACTACTGCTGAAAAAGATTTCAGATACCAAATTAATGGAATAGACTGCAGCCTCTCCAGACATTAATCCAATAGAAAATTTGTGATTCATCATTAAAAGAGATGTCTGTGATAATGGAAAAACAATATTCAAAGCACTTTTTGGGGGAAGCAGTAAAAACTGCAGCGAGACAGCAGGAAAGTTACCAAAATCAATCAATGAAGACTGAATGTCAAGGTGACCGTATCAACATGTAAAATAATAAATTTATTTACATATATGGGATATTACGTTAATCAAATGTTTCCATGGACAATCTCTTTTGGATTTATTTATAAATAAAACTTTGTCACATTTGTTTGTATCACAAAACCTGGCACTCCTAAAACAATTGATCAATCAGGATGGATATTAAAAGCTGAAACTTATGATATATTGTTTAGAAAATAGCAGCATATTCTAAAAGTTTTACCAGCATTGTGAAAACATTGACTTGTCTGATAGAATCTGATATTGTGCATATCAACATCTGATATTATTTTTTTTTTCTGTCAACCAGAACAAATTATCAGGACTAGATTTTTCATTTGGTAGTCTTGGAACTGAGCTTAAAACGGTAGAAGACACATGCACAATAATGGTTGACAATGCTTCAGCTAATCAACATTCCAGATAATATTACTACTACTAGTGAAAATAAAACAGTTCAAATGAAAATGAAAGAAATCCTAGTTCAAAATGAATGTTTGACAAGGCTTCATCTACTAATCAAAATGTCAGATAATATTACTATTAATACTACTACTAGTCAAAATAAAACAATTGAAATGAAGATGAAAAAAATCCTAGTCCAAATTGAATAATGCTTGGCAATGCTTCATCTAATACAATAGACCTTGCTACCTGCAATGCACCATTACCCAGTATATATAGTCAAGACAAAACATACATGGCCTGAAGATTGTATGAAGCAGATTGTTGCCCCTCGGTGTTGACGTCAGTGTTCATTTATATAAACCAATACGGCAGACAACTACTACTTCACCTTTTGAAAGCTGATGTTTAGAAATGTACTTTGAACAGTGGTATGTAGATTAAGGGTTTATTCTTAAATGCCGATGTATAAAAGTAGTTTTAAAGTATGCATGTGACACACACACAAACTGCAGCTACAAGTCTTCCCCCTCTCCCTTTGCAATGTGCTAAGTCATTCTAGTTTGAATGTTACATTTAAAAAAAATGAGGGTCTGCTGAAAAGTTCTCAGCCCAACTAACTTACCAAAATATGACTAAATATTTTTGGGTGGGAATCCCTTAGTTAAGCCAATATTTTTTTTCAGCAACTCCTTGTACTTTATGTATATAATTTTTTCTAAATTAGAAAATGTTTTTCAAATTTAAAATGTTAAACATATTGAACATAATGTAATTTTATTTTACATATATAATTTCTTTTTAACTCACCCCACCATCCTTATTATTTTATGATTTATTGTTTTATAGTTACAAATTTGGGATACTGCTGGCCAGGAACGGTTTCGGACCATCACCCAAAGTTATTACAGAAGTGCAAATGGAGTTATCATTGCTTATGATGTTACGAAAAGGTCTTCGTTTGAAAATATTCCACGATGGTTAGAAGATGTCAAGAAATATGCAGGATCCAATATAGTTCAATTAATTTTAGGTAAGTATTAAGTCTTGATTCCTTACAACCTGCCTTCATTCCTCCCCACTAATTAAATGATAACATTTAAATTACTCTTGTAATCTTTTTCATACTTCCATAACATTTTTTTTTAAAAAACAAAAAGGAGATATTAACAACAGATTTTTTTTTTCTCCATTAATAAATGTGGATAGATGTTTAAAAATGGAATAAATAAAAAAAATGAGATTTTCAAGTTAATTTCTTTTTTGAGAATAAAATAATTCATTTTTATGTCCTTTACAATTTGAAAATATTTTTTATGCATAACATTTATTAGGTTGGTGCAAAAATAATGACGTAATAATGTCGTTTTTTGACCTACTTTTCTACATCAAAAATGACATTCTTACGTCATTATTTTTGCACCAACCTAATACAAATATTTGTTGGTCTGTCATTGTTTTTTCTTTCATTTCTTTTAAATCCATTTTCCTTCACAACAGGTATTTACAGCTCTTCTCTTTTTTTTTTTTTCATTATCTGTTGAATTTCCATGATATGCTATGGAAATAGGGGAATGGCTTTCTTGTGACCTTCTGCCACCCAAGATTAAAGAGCCTAGTCTATCCTGCTATTTAAACCCATAGTTGTGGGGAGAAGAGATGGCCTTCCCCAAGGCTGTTAGTGCAAAGTGAATTCCACAGAACAAGCCTGGAATTTGCAAAGTAAAAAGTCAGTTTGTCTGTGTTAAAATTTTGTGTCATTATTCAAGGATCAAAATAGGATATCACATGGCAGTTCCTCTGGATTAGTTCTCATCTGGAAACTGGTCTGAAAGAATCATTGCCTAATTTATTTTTTAATCATTTCACCCTAAGCAAGGCAATAAAGCCACTAGGATGCAAATGGTTACTGAGTGTTAGAGAATATGAGAAAAACTGCTATTAAGGAGAGAGGACAATAAAAGAACAAGGTGCATTTAAATTTTTGAAGATCAAATTTAACTGGGAAGCAAGAAGCCAGATGAGTTCCACAAGCGAGAAGTACAATATATGGTTACAAATATCCATTTTAGCTGTAAAATGATGAGACCTTGCTGCCAATCTAGTACTGTGCTTAAATTCACAATGTCTAGGTGCTATAGCGAAAAATTAATTAGAACAATTACCATAAAAGTATTTATAAAAAAGGCTCAGGGAAGCTACATTACAGCAATGGGAAAGTGATTGAAACCAATATAGTGAACCAACTTTCTTAGCTGCAGACTTAGCAATTTATTCAATATACTCTTTCCACTTCATGTCAGTGGAAAAACATAATAATGGCAATAACACAATATTAACCACCATCATTTGGCTTATCTGTTTTGAGGTACCCTCATATAAATCTCAAAGAGTAAAGTTGTTATAATTCATGGTAAAGGAATAAATACTGAACACCAGGTAGATAATAGAAGAAAGGTTATTGTACACAAACAGTACAATATGAAATACGATACAGTTATACACACAGGTCAATCTAGTAGTGAGTGCCACTAATTGGAAGGTCGGACGTGCTTGTGTCTTTTCACTAACACTCTTCCTCGAGTCTCTCATAGACAGTTGACTTTATAGGTACTTACTACCTATAGTGTAATCATTCATGGACGTGACTGGTTATTCCATTGCATCAAAAGTTTTAGGTGCAATGTGTATGTTGTTATTTTACCAAGCTTAGTTTGACAAATTGGATAATGGCTCAGATTGAGGAATCAGACAGATTTGAAATCCAATCAAGTTCATTACATTCACTTACATGGTAATACTCTTAGGAAAAGTATAAATCCATCTCTTCCCCGACCCTAGCTATGGGTAAATAGCAGGATAGATTGGGCCCTATAGCTTTGGTCGGCAAACAGTCTAGAAAAAAGAAAACGCTGAATTCAAACCAGCCTGAAGAGGCCATCTTGCCCAGGAAACACTACTGCTGCTTTGTCTGTAATATGTGTGGTGACCCTATGACCCTAAATGATTACAGACTCATGACTGAAATTGGCACAAGGCCACAAGTGAGGATCAAACTCATTTCTCGGTTGTAAAGATCAACCAGACTTGTTAACTAACTCGATACCAAGGCACCATGAACAATAAATGGGTTTCTAATCAAGACTTTAATTGCAAAATCGAATACTCAAAATATGTATATAATAAAGGTTTTAGTCAGATTGCTTCTCCATTTTGAATACATACAAAGCCATCTCCTGCGTATTTTCAAACTTCAACTTTTAGTTGTGGGTGGTGGCAGGGCAGCATAATGTCTGGCTCTGAACTTGGCATATGGCTACTTACATGGGCAATTACAGATTTGTAATCATTTATGACTAAATAAAGATTTCATATTTAAATTTAATAAAAGACAAAACAAAACTGGGCCAACTTTCTTAGCTGCAGACTCGATACCAAGGCATATTTTAGACTGATCAGTCCAAGGCATATTTTAGATGCTCAGAGATGGGTATTAGTGAAATAGTTTGGTGATTAAAGGTTTTGACTGTTGATGACCAAATAGAAGCATTAGTGCCTTTGCTGACATCCCAGATCTGTTGCAGTCATAACCCCAAGGGTATAATGTGAATCTTGAGAAATGGTCTACTGTCAATTGCAAAACCTTTTTGGAAATCTGTTTTTGTTTATCTTTTCAAGAATCAGTACTCTGGATTATCCCTCTTGTACATTTCTATGAACTGTTTGTTTTGTTCTCACAAAACAAAACTTACTACTAATCCAGTTTTTCTTGTTTCTTTTCATTTTGCTATTAGTCACTCTTAGTGTAGCAACCTATAGTATAACGTTTTTCTTTTTTTAAATTAACCAATTGCTTTCTTTTGTGTATTAAAGTCATTTTCTATTATTTTCTTCTATTCTGTTCCTCTTGCTGTCATGCATTCAAAATGGCATTTATTGAGTTTTTGTATTCATTAATCTCAGAGAAGCAGAAAGCTTCTTAGAATTTAATTAACCAAATCTAAACTGTATAAATTGTTCTCCACTTTCCTTCATTTGAATGTGTTTTGTCATTAGTTTCATTAGACCAATGACATGATTACTTATGACACCTGTGTGGCTCTATGCGCAATCAAAGCAATCTGATAGGAATGTCTCATTCTCTCCCTTTTCCCCCATCGCCCACTTTTCTCTCCCCTATCGCCCACTTTTCTCTCCCTTTGCCCCTATCCTTCACTTTCCCATTTTTTTTCCTTCTCTTCCATTTTCTCTGCTTTTTGTCTCACCTCGATTTTCTCTCCATTTTTTTCTACTTTCTCACCTTTTTCCTCTCTTTTGCTTTCATTCTTTTTTTTTTCCTCTCTGCCGCGTTCATCCTTTTTTTTCCTCTCTGCCGCGTTCATCCTTTTTTTTTTCTCTCGCGCTTCTTCATTCATTTTTTTTTCCTCTCTTCCACCTTATATATTCCTTCATTTTTTTTCCTCTCTGCCGCTTTCATCCTTTTTTTCCTCTCTTCCGCTTTCATCCTTTTTTTTCCTCTCTTCCGCTTTCATCCTTTTTTTTCCTCTCTTCTGCCTTCATTGCTTTTTTTTCCTCTCTTCCACCTTCATTCCTTTTTTTCCTCTCTTCCGCCTTCATCCTTTTTTCTCTATTCCGCTTTCATCACTTTTTTTTTCCTCTCTTCCGCTTTCATTTTTTTTTTTTCCTCTCTTCCGCCTTTCATCCTTTTTTTTTTTCCTCTCTTCCACCTAATTTTTTTTTTTTTCCTCTCTTCCGCCTTCATTTTTTTTTTCCTCTCTTCCACCTTTCATTCCTTTTTCCTCTCTTCCGCTTTCATCCTTTTTTTTCCTCTTCCGCTTTCATCCTTTTTTTCTTCTCTTCCGCTTTCATCCTTTTTTTTTCCTCTCTTCCGCTTTCATCCTTTTTTTTTCCTCTCTTCCGCCTTCATTGCTTTTTTTTCCTCTCTTCCACCTTCATTCCTTTTTTTCCTCTCTTCCGCCTTCATTTTTTTTTCCTCTCTTCCGCTTTCATTCCTTTTTTTTTCCTCTCTTCCGCTTTCATTCCTTTTTTTTTTCCTCTCTTCCGCCTTCATCGCTTTTTTTTCCTCTCTTCCACCTTCATTCCTTTTTTTTCCTCTCTTCCGCCTGCATTGCTTTTTTTTCCTCTCTTCCACCTTCATTCCTTTTTTTCCTCTCTTCCGCCTTCATTTTTTTTCCTTTTTTTCCTCTCTTCCACCTTCATTTTTTTTTCCTCTCTTCCTTTCATTCTTTTTTTTTCTCTTCCGCCTTTCATTTTTTTTTTTCCTCTCTTCCACCTTCATTCCTTTTTTTTTCTCTTCCTTCTGCATTCATTTTTTTTTTTCTTCCTCTTTTTTTTTTCTCTCTTCCTTTTTTTCCTTTTTTCCTCTCTTCCACCTTTTTTTTTTTTTTTTCCTCTTCTTCCTTCATTCCTTTTTTTTTTTCCTCTCTTCCTTTCATTCCTTTTTTTTCCTCTCTTCCACCTTCATTTTTTTTTTTCCTCTTCCCTTTCATTTTTTTTTTCCTCTCTTCCCTTTCATCCTTTTTTTTCCTCTCTTCTTTTTCATTGCTTTTTTTTCCTCTCTTCTTCCTTCATTCTTTTTTTTTCCTCTCTTCCTTTCATTCCTTTTTTTTTTTCTCTTCCTTTCCTTTCATTCCTTTTTTTTTCCTCTTTTTTTCTTTTCCTTTCTTTTTTTTTTTTTCTCTTCCTTTCATCCTTTTTTTTTCTCTTTCCTTTTTTTTTTTTCCTCTCTTCCTTTCATCCTTTTTTTTTTCTCTCTTCCTTTCATCCTTTTTTTTTTCCTCTCTTCCTTTTTTTCATCCTTTTTTTTTTTCTCTTCCTTCATTTTTTTTTTTTTTTTTCTCTTTCTTTTTCTTTTTTTTTCCTCTCTTCCTTTCTCCTTTTTTTTTTTTCCTCTTCCTTTCATCTTTTTTTTTCCTCTCTTCCGCCTTCTTTTTTTTTTTTCCTCTCTTTTCCTTTTTTTTTTCTTTTTTTTTTTTTTTTCTCTTTTTTCCTTTTTTTTTTTTTTTTTCCTTTTCTCCTTCATTTTTTTTTTTTTTCTCTTCCTTTCTTTTTTTTTTTTTTCTCTTCTTTTTTTTTTTTTTTTTTCCTCTCTTCCTCTTTCATTCCTTTTTTTTTTTCCTCTCTTCCTTTTTTTCATCACTTTTTTCCTATCTTCGCTTTCATCACTTTTTTTTTCTCTTCGCTTTCATCAATTTTTTTCCTCTCTTCCGACTTTCATCACTTTTTTTTTCTCTTCCGCTTTCATCCTTTTTTATCTTCCGCTTTCAATTTTTTTTTCCTCTCTTCCGCTTTTTATCCATTTTTTTTCCTCTCTTTCCGCCTTCATCAATTTTTTTTTCCTCTCTTATCACAATCTAAAAAACTTTTTTTTTCCTCTGTTTTTGTTTTGTTTTTTTTTTCTTCTCTTCTGCCTTTTCATATATTTTTTTTTCTTCTGAAATTATCATTTTTTTTTCTCTTCCGCTTTCATCTTTTTTTTTCTCTTTTATTTCATCCTTTTTTTTAAAACACTTTTTCTCTCTTAACAAATTTTTTTTTTTTCCTCTCTTCCACCTTCATTATTTTTTTTTTTCAAGAATCCTTCATTCTTTTTTCCTCTCTTCCGCCTTCACTTTCAAATTTTTTGGAATTTCTCTTCTTCCTTCATTCCTTTTTTTCTCTTCCGCCTTCATTTTTTTTTTTCTCTTCCTCTTTTCATTCCTTTTTTTTTTTTCTTCTTTAACATTTTTTTTTTTTTTTTTTTCTCTTTTTTTTTCATTCCTTTTTTTTATTTTTTATGCCTTCAAGATTTTTTTAGATTTTTTTTTTATTTTTCTTCATTTTTTTTTGTTCTCTTCCGCTTTCATTTTTTTTTTTTCCTCTATCTGAAAGACATCATTTTTTTTTGGCTCTCTTTCCACCTTGGAATTTTGACTTTTTAATTCTCTTCTGTTTTAGAATCATTTTTTTTTCTCTTATTAAAAAAAAATCACTTTTTTTTTCCTCTCTTATATCTTTCCTCTTTTTTTTTTGTATCTTCAGCTTTCATCCTCTTTTAAATCTTCTTTCAACTATTTTTTTTTTCTTCTGCTTTCAAATTTTTTCAAAAATAAACCATCCTTTTTTTCCTGAATTCTTTCATTCCATTCACCTCTTCCATTTTCATTCCTTTTTTTCCCCTCTTTTTTTTATTTCTTTTTTTTTTTTTCCTCTCTTCCACTTTCATCTTTTTTTTTTTTTTTTTTCATCTCTTTTTTTTTCCATTTGTTCATTCCCCAGATTTTTTTACTTTCTCTTCTGCCTCTCTAGTGTTGTCTTCGATACTTGGATTATTTTCTATTTTCCCTTCTGATGCCACCAGAAACTCTCCATTGTCTGCTTTGGTTGTCAAGTTGATGAAATTGGCGAGTGTAGGTGTTTATCCAGCCTGTTCTTTGAGTTTTATGGTCTATATTAATGTATGCCCTGGATCACATTAAGCTATTAAATTTATTAAATTTGACTCACTGGGCAAATTGTTTATATCTAAAAGGAAACAGTTTTGATATTCTGTCTTTTTTGTTTTGGAAAAAAAAAAATGCAGAATTTTTTGCTGCCAGTGGGTATTTAAGACTTTTCTGTCTGCTTAATATATTTCAGATCACCTCTATTTATACAATCACTTATAAATAAATGAGATCAAAAATCATTCCACATCCAAATAAAAAAAAAATTCTTGAAATAATTGGTCAACAAAAATAGCAAAATCATGCATGTTTATTAGTCATATATTGATTTTCTCTTAATGTTGTTTAAAAGAGTCATGTATGTAATAGAAGTTTACTTAGTTTACTGCCAGATCCCTTGTCTGGCAGACCAAGAAAAATATTTGGTGCCAAGTGAAGCAGACCAAGGGAAATATTCGGTGCCAAGTGCAGTGAATGAAGCGAAACATTGATCTTCAAGATTTCTTCATTCATTCAACTTTTCCTAGCATTCTTTTAACAAATTAGTCTGTTTTACCAAAAATTTAATGCAAAGTTTAACATACGTATCCACAAAAAACTGATGTTAAGTGGACAGTTTTTCTCTTGAGACTATCATGACTGTTGACCCCCTTGGCAATTTTTATTAGAAAATTATTTTTGGAATTTTAATAGAACCCAAATATATGAAACTGGATCTATACATTCTTTTTTTTTTTTTTTTTTTCTCAAAAATTGATAAAAGAACTAAACACTATTAGTGTTTATTTACAAGAATAATTTTGTATTTACAGGTTTATAAAAATATAACCAACAATAATGCAATATTTAGTATTTACCATATAAAGAAATAACTATGTAAACCTATATTACTCATAAATTTACAAAAATATCTGAACAAAAAAATTTAAGTAAATTACAAGTAACTGTAATCTTAAATTTAAAAAAATGCATTTTGCAGACATTTCCTTCATTTTCTCTTGTCACACGAATTCACTAAAATTGGTTGTGAGTATCTTATTTATTTTTTTCCTGAGGACTGACAACAAAAATGTTCAATACTATTTATTTATTTGACTGTTTAATTACAAAAATAGTATTTAATGTTTTTTCTGTCAATTCTTGAAAAATAATGACAATGTATAAATCCAGTTTCACATATTTGGGTTTTACTAAAATTTAAAAAAAAAAAAGCCAAGGAAATATACAACACCAGTGGGCAGTGGGGTCAGGAAAAAATATACTTTTGATACACCATTTTTTGAAGACACAAATGTTGAACTTTGCCAAATATAATTTGTGCTGTTAAAATATGACCACACAAAGTCTATATCTTGTATTAGAAAAAATATAAATAATGTGGAAAATATTCATTTGAAAATGAATTGCACATATCATAGAACAAAATCTAGTAAAAAGGATTTGAAACTTTAACTTATGTATGTTGATTCTTGCATATGCAGCTGTCTACGTCCATTACTTAAGCAAACATGTGGACACTTGATAAGGAAATTTCTGTTAGGTGTTTTTTGTGTCTTTTTTTTAATCTTACTTTATATGGATGTATACAAAGGGATGCTGAAAATTTCTTGGCCCAACCCACTTCTCAGAATCTGAACAAAGAGATATTATTTTTCTCATTTTCTTAAAAAGCTTCCTGGTTAGTTCAATAAATTTTCATCACCCCCTTGTATATATTGGAGTAAGAAGAATTGCCTGTTGCCAAGAGATAAGATTGTTTATTGCCTTTTTGACTTGGACATTTTGTCCTTGCTAACGTTTTATATTCCTTTCTTCTTAATATGATCTTCATTCCTTTTATGATTTTTTTTTTTTTTTTTTTACACTAGATTTATTTTCTAAAGATCTTACAAATAGGTTGGCTTTGTTGTCTGCTGCAATGGATGGAGACCCATTGTCTTGTCTGTTATGTCAGCTCTGAACAAATCAAGAAGGTTCTGATTTCAAAAAAAATTTATTTGGATTCTCTCTTTATGTAATATATATATGTGTAATAAACTGCAAATGTTTATTAATAGATTTGATTTTATCATTGTAATTTTTTACAAAAAAAAAAAAATATTGGATTTGAAAATTAAATACACATAAACTAAGGGTTGAATTCAAACTTAGGTCTTTTTAAATCTTTATAAATATTTCAATAGTTAAGCAATTTTTTTTTTTTTTTTTTTTTAGATATAGTAAAAAAATTGTTTTAAATATTTATGACAGTTAGAAAAAAGTTTAGGAATATCCGAACTTTGACGTTCCATATCAATCACGAAGTCTTCAGATTCCATTTCATTATCTTACTTGCTAACAAACAGTAATTTTAATTTATTTGTAACAAACAGTTATTTCTGATGAAAAATTGAGGACAATTTGAAATATCAAATATATATATAAATAAATAAATACTTTCATAAAATAAAACATTATACAAATTTTTAATTTGAAACTTTTTCATATATATACATATTGAGAAACTAGTATAAACGTGGCTTCTCATTAGACTATATATATATATATATATATATATGTTTCTATTTGTGGGGAAGAGTTCTGTATCGGTCAATCACTCCCATATCCTTTAGATCACTGATAGCCTGAAGATCCTTTGAGCTGTGAAACTGATAGAAACCAACATGGCATGGTGACTGTATGTGTGTATACATACACACACAAGCAAATAATTAAATAGCTAGTGTTTCAACATAGCAATTCCACAATTCTGAGTTTCATGCAACTGGCAATCATTGGATATAAAATGTTCAGTTTCATGAGAACTTTCATGGGCATTAAATGGATGCCAATATTTTTTTTTTTTCAATTTTTTTTTTTTTTTTTGCAAATGACAATTAACCAAAAAACACAATTTGACCAAATTCTTAGTGGTTATTGTTAATCAGTACATGATGTAAAAAAAAAAGAACATGATAATATATATAAATACACACACTTAAACACAAACACTTATTTTTTTCTCCAAGATAATATGTTGAATTTTTGAATTTTTTTTTTTAACCAAAAACATTGTAAGATATGTATGTATTTTGTGTGTGTATAATCCATTTATTGTGTTATATATATATATATATATATATATATATAATAAAAAAACATGTTTAAAAATTTTATTTAATATTTTTGTTTTTTTTTAATCACTTCATCCCAAGCAAGGTTGGAATGCCACTGGTACACAGGGGCTACAGAAAATGAAAATGAGAGAAAATACTGGTTATGGTGGCATTGAGGAATAAATGATTAATAGCACTGCAGATAACAGTAGATGGTGATTGACATTGCATTTAAATTTTTGAAGATTGTAGTTTTTAGGGAAGCAGGTAGACGGAAGTGTGTTCTACTGGTGGGAAGTATGAGAAAAGAAACTTTTTGAAGAACTTGTGGTTACATTTTAACTATTTCAAGAGTAAAAGGGTACGACCTAGATGACAATCCAGTAGTACGCTTCAATTCATGTAGTCTGAGCACTAGATAAAAAAGCTCATCAGAGTAGTTGCCATGAAAATTTTTGTAGAAAAAATAAAGAGAAGCCAATCACATCAGTGAGAAAGTAACTGAAGTTGAAATTCCAAGTCAAGATCAATTACATTGCAGATCCTTCTCTGGATTTTGTCAAGAACCTCAAAATGAATAGCAGGAGCACCATACCAGATATGGCAACAGTATTCAATGCACAGCTGAATGGTAGCTTTGTGAATGTACAAGGTGGACTCTGACAAGAAAAACTTTCTGGCACAACACAGTGACCCAAATTTCCTTTCAGTAGATGCAGCTATTGATTCAATGTAGTTGTTCCACTTCAAGTCAATTGAAAACATGAGGCCAAGAAAGCAGTGTGTGATGCTCTCCAGGAGTTGAGCATCAGCCATGCTGGTGGCTGGCTGGGTAGTTTCTCTATGGTGGTTAAATGAGAGCTGTTTACTCTTGGAGGCATTAAAATTTACAAACCATTTACTGTCTCAGTTAACCACTGATTGGAAGTTCTTTTAAAGAGCAGCAGCAATGATAAACTTTGTCAGCTCTGGCAGATTTGCTATTG